GCGCTCTCCGCGCCGCCGCTGCTGCCGCCGCCGCCGCCGCCAGGGCCTTGGGCTCGGGAAGGGACGGGTCGGTGGCGTTCCTGAAGAGTTAACGAGCCGCGTGTCTGTCTCCCCACAGCCGCCTCTTCGGATTTGTGAGGTTTCATGAAGATGGCGCCAGGACGAAGGCCCTTCTGGTCAAGGTAAGGCAGCCGCGCGGGTCGGAGCGCGGACGCGGTCTCCCCGGCCCGGGCCCCGCGGCCCAGCCAGCGTTCATTGTGACCGCGAACGATGGCCGAGGGGCTTCCGGAAAACTATTTCCTGCCTCTGCTTTCCCCCCACCTCAGATACCTCGCTCGCTCCCTTGCGAAATCGCCCTCTCCTGTAGCTTGGGCAACCGAGGCGGCAGCGCTTTGGGGCCGGGTTCACTGGGTCGACTAATTTTACGGCTTGTTGGGGGTAGGCCGGTGATCACCAGGGTGCCTGTTTAGGGCCAGGGGATCGTAAATGTGAGCATATTTTTCCAAATTTTCGATTTATTTGTCTCTCACGCTTTTTTATTCTTTTCGTTCAGCCAGGGTGTTCGTGATGTCTACTGTTACTCAAACGTTTTGGGCTTTATTATGTCTCCCAAAGGGGGAAGTTGCAGATAGTTGAGGGTGGTGAAGAGTTTGCATGGGGCTGTTGACATGTATCTCAATTGGTATGTGTTTTACCTGAAGTTAGGTGACTTGTTTACTTTTTGGGTCTTGCTGCCATAGAAATACCGCAGTTATCTGTGAATGTGTTTTCTTCCTAGAGCCTTGTTTCCTGTGTGTCTGACAGGGGAGGCCAGGAGGATTCGGGGTGTAGTCTCTGTTTATTGTGTGGAAAGTTGTTGGCACTGTCATTTAGTTAAGTAATGGCTGCTCCTATCGGCCCAAGATGGCGGGACAGGGTGGGAGGAGAAAGTGAAGCGGGGGGGGTTTGGGGGAGGGAGGAGAGGTAAACATGGAAATAAATAGTAGGGATGAATAGGCCTCTCCTTCGGAGTGTGTAGTTCGATGGTGTTTAATAAAAATTTTCCAAGGTTATTTGCAAAAAAAATTCTTGTACCTTTCCCGTGCTTGGAAGCAACATTCATAAGTCTGGTGTAAATGCTTATCAACCTGTAGCACATTTAGTTACCCGTCCGTAAGCTATTGAACAAAGACTGGGAGTCTCTGTCTGCATCAGTTTGTATCTCCTAACCAAAATCTGATAGAAATGGTCTTTGTATGCTTTCTCCTTAATTGGGAGCATGAAACTTGTAGTGTGTGCAATAGCTGTTGCAACCATTAGGTATTTTCTTTTCTAGCTGAAATCAGTAGCTTTGCATTTGACACCTAGCTTTGTTGTTGGAATTCAAGAAGGAAGTTTGAAATGACTAAAGTATAGCATTTTATTCTTAGGTTGATTTTTTTGTTGTTGTTGTCCTGAATTTTTGTTTGGTTTAGCAGAGCCATTAAGTTCTTTTCTCTGTAGTTACACTTCTTTTTATATTTAAAGGTAACTGAGTATAAGGGGTTTTGATTGCAAATAATGATTCAAAAACTAAACTGAAATAATTCTTTCCAGTAAGCCCAAGCCTTTGACTGATAAAGAAAACAGGAATTAAACTTTGACTATATATAGGTATTAATTGGCTTCATTAAAAATTATCGCTGGAAAAATGAATAGTGCCTAGCTCTGGAATGATTTGAGCACCAATGATTTTTGGTTTCCTGCCTTAAAAAAAATTTTCAGTTTGAGTACTTAATTTTATTTAAAAATACTTGTCTACTGTCAAAGTGGTCATTCCAAAAGGTTAACCAAAGATTTAGATTTTAAGAAGCATTATTTTATTTTGGAATGATTATTGAAGCTTTAACATGGGGTTGATAAAAAATTCATTTGGAAAAGTTCGGACAAATCTATTACTTTTGGTTATGATAATGAAGAAATAAACAGAATACGATGTTTTCTGTGGATAATTTGTAAAATGCTAGTTAACTTCATGTCTCAGAATGCACATATTCAGATGAATTCACAGTGGATGGTGCTTAACATTGGGTTTCAGATTGTAATGTTGAACCCCGGCAGTTATTATGCACTACTGCGTTTAAATTTTAAGGAACTGAGCATTTTCAAATGTTTTTTGTAAAGGTGTGCATTACTTTCTTAACGTTTGAATAGAGTTCCATTTTAAAATGAGAAACTGGCTAAGCTTCATTATGTTTTAAGGAAGAATTATAGCTTCATAAAATACAGGGTAATTTGATTAACTACTAAGTATTTGTTGAGCTAAAGAAAAAAAATCTTCATTACTCAGACTCAATACTAATGAAGTCCTACCTGCTTAGATCAAGATTCATTAGCCTTAACATTAAAATAACTGTTTTAAGTGCAATAAAACATTCTGGGGTATGCTTGCAACCTCATGCAGTTCTCGGTTGCATCCTTGTGTGCCTGAACATTCCAGTGAAATGTGTAATGTAAAGCTTGACATTATATAATCTCTCACTCTGTGTTTGCAGTGTATTCCGAATAGAATGAATAAGCTGGAGTCCTCCTGTAGGAAGTATTAAATTATTTAGTTTCATACATCTTTTTAACCATTCTGAGAAACAGTATTTTCTTTGTGGAATGTTGGGCTCTGTTGGTTTCAGAATTCTTATTATCCGAAAGTCTTAAGAATAAGATTTGGCTTTTCTCTACCAGGTTACTTACCTGTGGGCTATGATTTTTGTCATGCCACCCTCCCCACCCCTCGAAAAAGACAAGTTCAGTGTCTACACTTTGTATAGTAACTTTTTTTCTTTCTGACAGAAACTTGGCTATTTGCTACTTGTTTTAAAAAATTCTTATTACTGTATATATTATTGGATAAAAAATGTAACTCTTGACTTTGGAAAGCTTTGGAAAGTTTAAAACATTTAATTAATATATCTTATTTGCCCCCAAACATACATTCTTTTTCCAGGCATGACGATACTTTATCCAAACCACTGATTTCTCTTGGTCTCTGAATGCTTTTGTAAGATTCACTTATATTAAAGTCATTGAAAGAATTTTTGTTTGTAAGATTGCCATTTGATACACTGTGCCTGGGGTTTTGGATTGAAAAATACGTCAGTAATACAGATATTCTTTTTGTAGTAATATCTTTAAAATAAGGATGTAAATAGCTAGTGGTTGCTGAATCAGAGTTCTTGAAATATAGCATGATCTTGAGCACTTTGCTCTTTCAACTAATGCTAACCCGTAATCTTCTGGTAATATATTCAAGATTTTTATTTTTTAATTAGTGTAGTTATTGAGAAGTAATTAAGAAGTGAAACATTTTAAAAGAAATTATGCTGACTTTTTTAGTGTGCTTTTGAAAACCTTTTGGATTAATTTTGCTTTCATTAGGATATGGGTTTGAGTCAAAATATAAAATAGTATAATCACAGTATATAGTAATACTCTAAAGCATAACTATAATGATAATATAATGCTAGAGGGCCGGGGGATCTTATCTGTGTCAGGGGAACTATTGATGAAATACATCGTTGTTGTTAGGTGCTGTCGAGTCAGTTCGGATTCAGTGACCCTACGTACAATGAAACGAAGCACCGCCCGGTCCTGCGCCATCTTCACAATCATTGCTATATTTGAGCCCATTGTTGTAGCCGCTGTGTCAGTCTATCTCATCGAGGGTCTTCCTCTTTTTCACTGACCGTCTATCTTACCAAGCATAATGTTTTTCTCCAGGGACTGGAGATACATAGCAGTCATTTATTTTGAAGTATCTTTATGTCGATTTAAGTTTGTCATGTCAATTTATTTTATTGGAACTTTTTTTTTTTGTAATTGTATGTATCAGTAGAAAGATTATACAGAATACTTAGAAGAAATTGTGGATTGTTTACCATTTAAAAATGTGTGTACTTTTTGTCTAGAAGACATTAGTATTAAAATAGTTGTCATTTTTAATTTTTTGGGTAGTGGGGATAGTTTAAGATCCATTAAAGCACACATTTTCCTGAATTTGACCTGGATGTAAATGGTAGGGGGAAAACTATTAAGTCAGTTCTAGAAGTGGCTTTTTTATACTGTAATATTTGGATGTTGATGATTCATATTATGTGTTTCCTGTTTAAATCTTTAAAAAGGGATAAACTATTTCCAGGGCTAAAGATGGTTCGTGTTTGGGTTAAAAAATTAACCACAGAAATAATGTGATATATTGTGTTTAAAAACTAGGTCTTTAATTTGATGTGTTTCCAAAATTAGTTTCTAGTTTGGAAAGTTGTCATTTAAATAATTATAGTCATTATTGTTTACTTGGACAAAGTCTAATGCAGTTACTACACAGGAAAGTATAGTAACTTTCCTAAAATTTTGATATATTGCTGGTAATAAAGCTATAGTAAGAAATTACAGAAAATGTTTACGTATTTAGGCACAAATTAGAACTGCAGGAATATGAACAGGTACTTTTCAAGTTCTGGGTTTTTTTTCCCCCCACCGAGTAGCTCCTTTTGTAGAATCAATTACAAATTAAAAATGACTAATACAAATTCAAAGGGCTGCTTGAGAAGACAAAGTATTAGAGTGAAATGTACAAAGACCTGGAGTTAGAAAACCAAAAGGGAAGAACATGCTTGCATTTCTAAAGCTGAAAGAACTGAAGAAAAAATTCAAGCCTCAAGTTACAATATCGAAAGAGTCTATGGGCAAAAAATTGAATGCCGCAGGAAGCGTCAAAAGAAGATGGAATGAATGAATACACAGAGTTACTGTACCAAAAAGAATTGATTGACGTTCAGCCATTTCAGGAGGTAGCACATGATCAAGAACTGATAGTACTGAAGGAAGTAGTCTGAGCTGCAGTGAAGACATTGGCAAAAAACAAGGCTCCAGGAATTGATGGAATACCAATTGAGATGTTTCAACAGATGCAACACAGGAAGTGCTCACTTGTCTATTCCAAGAAATTTGGAAGACAGCTACCTGGTCAACCGACTGGAAGAGATCCATATTTGTGCCCATTCCAAAGAAAGGTAGTCCAACAGAATGCAGAAATTATCAAACAATATCATTAATATCCTATGCAAGTGAAAATTTGCTGAAGATAATTCAAAGAACGGTTGCAGCAGGACATTGGACAGGGAACTGCCAGAAATTGAAGCCGGATTCAGAAGAGGACATGGAACGAGGG